ATGGTTATGTGAAGTTCATATCTCATTTGATTGTAGGTCCATTCAGTTATGACCATTTCAGTCTTTCATCCTTTTGAACGGAATTGGTGTTAATTCCGCTCATGATAGTCATTATCATTGCTCGCATACCAATTACACATTTTCAGGTACCTTGCTCTCAGTAGATGGACGTGCTGAGCATACAAGTTTGCAGCCGAGCGATGAAGTCTCCGAAACATCGCCGGGTGAGATGTTGCAAAAGAGGTGGGACGAGGAGGAGAATGAAGAAGTGGGAGAGCAAGAAGTAGAAGAAAAAGAAGAAAAAGAAGAAAAAGAAGCCATGGTGGAGACGGGCTCAGACCAGGCCGAGATGGAAGCTGGGTCTCTGACGGCTGGACAATTGCATCAGGCGGAGTGCAACGTTCTGGAGATGGAGTTGCAAGAAATGCGCAAGTGCATTGCTGAATGGCGATCTTGTGAGGCGGAGAATGGCAGGAACACGACAAACATGCCACCAGAGCGCTCGACCGCGATTGAGGGTGGGCTGAGCCCGAAGGAGTTGGACACTGTTGCGGTATCTTCGGGCGTCCTATTCGTCACCGGCTCTTCGGGTGGCCTCGAAGAGGCGGCCGTCTCCGGCTTACACGCCGAGCCGTTCAGCTTCCTCGTGGACACTGCTCGTCTGTCTGCCGATTGCGACAAACTGCTCGCTTCCTTGAAGACTCATCTGCTCAGGGTCAACTCGATTTGCGACAATTGGCGTCGGCTCGTCAAGGCTCAGGCCAAGTTGGTGGAGCAGACGAACCTGCTGGACGAGACGACGCATCGAGCCATCGCCAGCGTCGCCAGCCTCGCCAGTCCCCGCACCGGTCGACGCAGTCTGCACACACAATTGGCCCATCTCGCCGGCCAACTGGTCGACTGGCAGGCCTGGCTACGCGTCAGCTGGCGGCCGGCCGGACTCGTCTTCGCCGACGTCGACGCCGACGTCAATGCCGACGCTGAGGCCGGAGAGCCGGCGCTGGGCAACGCCGAGGCCGGTCGCAGTGACGCCGAGCAATTGGTCATTCGATTCGACCAGTTGCGTGGCGTTGCTGGCCGTTTCGTCTTGACGGCTCCGGCCAGAGGGCCGGCCGTCGACGCGTTGGTCGCCGACGCGGCGCATCATTTGATCCGAGTCGCCGGACGCCTCGGCGAGTTGGGCAGACGAGCCGAGGCAGCGGCGCATGGCCTGGCCGAGCGAGAACAGGCGCTGAAGCGCTGTCTCGAGACGCTGGACGAGGTGGAACGCGCCGCCGGCCTTGTGTCGTTCCACGACCTCGACGGCATTGACGACCAGCAGAAAATGAAGAAGAAGAAGAAGAAGAAAAAGAACGGAGAGGAGGAGGACGAGAAGGAGGAAGAGGAGGATGAGGAGAAGGAGAAGGAGAAGAGTGGGATTTCGAGGGGCGAAGTGAGGGTGCCAGAGCGGCTGGAGGTGGAACGGCTGGCTGAGGTGGACAGTTTCGAGGAGGCGAAACGCCGCCTCGGGCGGATCGTCTCCGCCGAGAGTCGGCTCGAGGCCGCCCAACAGACCGTCCTCTCGGGCCTGCATCAGGCAAGCCTGCTCGCCGTTGCTAGGCATCGTGAACTCTGTTTTGAGGCCGAGCTGGTGCGGGACGACGAGTCGGAGACGGGTTCACCTCGCGACGGCTTGCACGACGAA